GGCATCAATTCACGAGTTTCAAAATCAAAAAATGTTTAGCTCCAATTATAAAAATATGAGTAAAATTGAGGAAATTGAACGTTCTTTTAGTCTATCCCCAATCTATTTGATACTCCTATTCATGTTTACCTACGATTTTACTAGATTAATCGATTTCCACTATTTAATATTTATTGTATTTTTATCAATTTGGACAACTTGCTCGCCTTTTTTTTCTATTTAAGTTTTTTCTTTCATTTACATATAGAATCGTGAAATGAATACGATAATCAGAAATTTCTCTACTTAAAAATCACAATATCTAAATTGTGACCGGGAAGAGAGTTGCAAAGCCGGTTGTTACTGCTGACACTCCCTCAGAATATTTATCGGCAGTTTGTTGATATATTTCTAAATTTAATCCTTTACTTAAAACCGAACCTCATTAATGCATTGCCAGTTTACTTTGAATACAATGCTTGAAAAATTATCCAAATTAAAATTGACTATATTCTAGTTTGACTAACATCTCAATTACTGCTGAGTAAATTTTTAAAAATTCTTGTGTAGATTTTTGTATCATTTAAACCTTCACTCCTATGATTCAAGAATAAGTTTGTGAAATTTAGCAGGGAGGAAATTGACAAATAAGTAAGGTAGCAACCACAACATGAATCAAATCTATGACGATTGATGGTTAGATTTCTAAAAATCTAAACTTTCTTAGAGTGAGCATGGGTTTGTCGCATATAACCAAAGTTATTGGCTTTTCGATAAGAATATGGTTTGCTTTATGTTGTAAATTGTACTTCTTACTCTATTATGATTAAAAAATATCAATATCAAAACGGAGAATCCATGATGCTTTTGCATGTATTTTAAAATCTAAATGTTATCAAGTTTCAATTCAATACTTATGATATAGAATGAACTTTTTAACTTAAAAGGACAAGAACTAAATTCACAAGAACAATTTCCCAATGAAAAATGTTGTCTTTGCAAATGTGACATGAAAATATATCTTTATAATGTTTAACTTTGAGTTGTGAGCATCAGTTAAAATGAAATTGAAAATTTTTATATAAAACATGTATAATATAATTAATAACTTTGTATGAAATTAATTGAAAATCAATATTTGCAACAAAGATCTGAATAAATCTGAAAAAATTTGAGATTTCATTTTGCATGTGGTATTTATTTTTTATTGCTTTTAATTTGTTATATATTATCATTTATAACATGAAACCTGAATTATAATGTCATATGTTATTAAAAAAAATTTAAAAATATACTACGCATTCACATTCATGCAATTTTACACTTTAAACCAATTTAAATTATAATTCGAAAATTTCATAATCTATAATTAATTCAGATTATAACAGTAGGAATTTCTTATAATGATAATTTTTTATTAGTTCATTGTAGAATTTATTGCAAATGCATTTAAAAGTGTGATTTTGACCATTGTTTGAAACCTGATTTAGATTTATTCTTTGTTAGCATGCAGCAAGGTTTTGATTGACTATAGATCAAAATTAAAAATAATTTTATTTCTTATAAAATTTGGTGTCATATAAATTCAGAATTATTTAAATTGATGATTGCAAAAAAATATGAATTATCTTCATTTGAGTTCAAAATTAATGACATAAATCTGTTTTGAATTAAGTATAGTATCTTCTATTTTTTCTGCAAATTTTTTTAGGATTGATTCAATATTATTGAATTACAAATAAAAACTTGTAAATCATTACTTTCTCCTAAAAAAATATTTTTATTTAATATTTTCAATTTATAATATTTTTTAATTTCAAAATTTTACAGTGAAAATATTACATTCAATTTAACTTCAACAAAATATTTTGCAATAATATTATTTTATGAAGAAAAAATTATAAATAAAGAAGCAAAGCTTTTGAATTGATATGTTGACCTAATAATATAAAATAAAATAAAAGTACAAATATTTCTGGTTGGATGTGAGTTGTTTGAATGTTTGAGTTTGTGTACAAAAATTATAAATTATAAAATTTTAATTTTTTAATCAAAATTGGTCGACAACAGATTCATAGATTTATTTTGTATGATATTAAGTATGGTGCAATTTTCATTTTATAATATTTTTCAAAAAATAATTTTTTCAATTTATTATCAGAAAAATTCAAATATTATGATTATAAATAAAAAAAAATAATGAATCATGATATTTTCATCTGTAACATCATTTGATTCAAACTTGTTTAAATTTGTCACTCTTTAAAATACAACAAAGTAGTGAATCAAGATAATTTTGGATAAATTTTTTTTATTCTACTAATCTTGTATTTTTATCAATTGTGGTTAAATCTTTCATATTTTATATTGATTTTTTTTTCTTGTTCCTTTGACTTATTTTTTATTGAAAAAAATCTGAATAATTTTTTTGATTACATTCTGATAATACAACTATTTTGAATTGGAGGATTGAATACTAAAACTGAAGATGACAACATCATTAATCTTGAGGTATTGAATACTAATGATATATTTATCATCTCTTTGTTCTATGATATATTTTTTTAACTATACTTGAAATGTATTTAAGACATTTTTTTGTAAGTGCACTACACAAAACTGCATAATTTTTTGTTATTGTTTTTTGGATGGTTGTGTAACTTATGTTTGTTAAAGTGTTTTAATTGCTCTATAAATTTTCAATGCTAGCTTTCTACATAGTAGAGCAGTCACGATGTATCGTAAGGCACAAAATATTTAAGTTGTATGCTAGACCACAACATATACAATATTTAAATATTGTAGATGTTGTGGTGTATATATCGCATGAAGATATTTTAAAATATATGTTATAACTTGGAGTTATTTACTTGATGGGACTCTATCGGAACCTAAACTGCTTGATGGAACCCATCTAGTTTCATTTTATCCGATGGGATACCATCGGAGTCAAACCATCGAGAACTTCTACAAGATGTTCTTGTACACTAAAGCTTGCATCATACGCAAACTTTAGTGATTCTTTGCAACCGCAAATTATAGAATGATGAACTGTGACAAACATTATCACAAGGGCACATAGGTATTCAGTTTTGAGCTGTCGGAAATTCGACTCGGTGAGCAACAGCGGACATGTGTAATCTGTGAAGTAAATTCACAAGGAGTGAAGTGGAGTACTTGTGAATTCCATTGTCAGGTAATTTTACAAATTTTGATGCTACGGGGAAGTTTCAGACAAAGAAGTGTCGGGGTCCGATTGCACTCAGTGTAAATTTGGGAGATTAAATGATGGAAGAGTTCAGTCTCGCTGTCACAGTTCCACTACCTGCACTGTGTGTTGATACAATAAAATGCATGATGTGTGCCTTCGGTGGGGTACCATTAGGTAAAACAAAACTTAAAGTATCCCATTAAACAGTTTAGTTTCCAATGGGGTACCATCAAGTTAATATCTCCTATAATTTGTTATTAAATTTGTCACTTCTTTAACTTCATTAGATCTTCCCATCTTCTTGTATTTTCCATTACATCCATTTCTTGGATCCACTAAGCATAATTGTCTCTTCATAGCTATCATCTTGCTTTTTTGGTATTGTAAAATAGATTTTTTTGGGAGTTTGAAGATATCAAAATCAATGATTGTGAATCATGTGAATGGGACTTAAGAAATGGGGATGGGAAAGCATGTTCAACTATTTTTGCCTCGGCCCATACACTATCAATACGAGTGGCCAAAAAATCGAAGGATTTGTGGTGCGTACCTGAAAAGCACGCAGTAAGTTGCACTGATGCAGTAAAGGGAATCCAAAAAACGACAAGTTGAAGTGACACAAATGGAAAGTTCGAGTCCATTGTTTTCTCCCTTTCAATAAAGGAAAAGGAGAGAGAGAGAGAGCCTAGCGGAGTAGGGGTATAAAAGGCTACAGAAGTCAATTGCTTTGACCATAACACGTAATGTACTGACTGTGCATCAGAGGCAGCTGAAAAAATTCGAGGAAAAAAAGAGCAAAAGGTGATTCGATTAGCTGTGAATATCTTCTGGTCGCTCGTACGGTGAAGGGGTTTTCAGGTTTGAACTGTTGGGTTCTACCAAATGAAGGTGACCTGCAGAGCTGCACGACTCAGTGTCAGGTCCAGCCCAGGAAAGACACTGCCAGAGGACCTGCTTTGAGGTTGTGGCCAGTTTCAACTTCTTTATTTACTTTGGTATTTTTTGGTCTTGTAGCTGTGATGAGGAATTCAGACCGCTAGTGCTGTCCAGTTACGAAGTCCACCTTCCGTCTCAGCTCACAGAGAGTTTCGCCTAAAGCATATTTTTTATTAATTAAAAGCTGAAAATCGAAAGTAAATTCATTAGAATTATAAAATGCCATATTTAGTTCCCCTATTAAAATAAAAAGAGACCCAGCTGAAATATACAAAATAAATTTTGTCGCAGTTGTGAACTTAGTATTAGCATACATTTACAGCTGGGAGGTCCAAAAGCACGCCACACACAAAATTCTTGAATACCTCATCCAATAACGGAACCAATTTGGTATTTAGATGGATAGCAAAAAACGATGGGAAATCCAACAACGGAACCACAAAGAAGAGGGCTCATCTTCACCGGTTCTCAGATCAAAGTTTCCTCCCATCAAAATGCACTTTTGGCCTATATATTGAATATAAACGAAAAAAAATACATTAAAAAACAAAAGAAATATCTATACGATCTCCTGATTGATTAAAGAATGAAAAATCTGGGCTGACTACTGCATCGAGGACCGGTAGCACACAGAACTACACATGTAATAATAAAATGCCTTGCACTCTTAACGTAGAGAAATATGGAGAATATTTTACTTCATACGACCTGTAGAAAGTGAAGGGTTCACTTCAGGCTTAGAAGAAGGTAATGCTTTGGTAAAGGTAAGGCTTTGGCGGTAGTTGCTAGGATGTAGTAAAAGAGACTTACGTGCCCACAAGGACGGAAGTGAAAGGGAACCACGTAATGATGCAACCAAGTAAGAGTGAAAGAGGGAGAAGCACAATCTGGAGGAAGGACGGAATAGACGTCTCAGATTTTGTGGTATTTTATTTTATTGTCGGACATGTAACGTAAAAGACGAGTGTAAAAGCCGTTCATATTCTAGAGACAGTAGAATCTAATGGCTCGCACAAGAACGCCGAGAAATTCATATTTCGAGGTCCAGTAGGCGTCTTTTTCATAGGTCGGCGAATCTAAACCACACTTGCAAAATATTCAGTTGCACTGCGAAGAAGCAATTCTCGAGCACAGATTCGACGGTCGAAATTGGTGCCAGGGAGAAGGGTCTCTTTGGAAACTCTGGTAATGTAATTAATACTCGCTGCAAGATGCAGAAGACGCAGAGAATCGAGTATTGAGAAGCCCCCCACGAACGTTGACTGCCCCATGGACGCAGAGACGGAAGGAAGGAAGGAAGGAAGAAGGGCCTCGGACTCGCCGAGTCCTGACCGAAACGGAAAGTGGGACATCATCAGGCAGAGAGGGCAAACATGTCTCATGTGCGAGGAGAGGAGGCCAAAGGGTCTCGAACGAAGCAGGGGGAGGAGGAGGAGCAGGAGGAGGAGGAGGCCAGAAGGCACCGGGCGGGCGGGCGTCCATAAGAAGCCGGCGCAGTGACTCTGGCTCTGTGTGCGGCTGGCTGGATCGGTACAGGCCGTCGATGGATGCCCAAGCTTCAGCCTTGCCAGGTCCTCCTCAGTGCGGTCTAAAAAGGCCCAAGCCAAGCCAAGCCAAGCCAGGCCAAGCTCAGCGCAACACCAGCACCAGCACCAGTGTAGCTTGCAGCAGCAGAGAGGAGGGAAGATCGTACAGTAACAGTGAGTGAGCGGTATGTGATGTGATGCGAGCCATCGATTGCCTCAACTATTGATACGCAGACTCGCGCCAGTAAAGCGCCAGAGGGGTTTGGGCCAGAGGGTGGGGTGGGCAAAAGGAGATGGTGTGGAGAAGATAGTATCTAGATGTACTTTTCCCGGTGCAGAGTTTAGGAGTACAGATCCACTCCCGACCGGAAGATCGGATTGAACTGGGAACCGGAGTTTGTAGGAGTGGGGTAATCGGGGCTGAGCTTGGGAGAGGAGAGGAGAGGGAAGGGAAGGGGAGGGGAGAGCAGGAGAGGAGAGGAGAGGAGAGGGGAGGGGAGGAGAGTGTTTTGAGCCGAGCTCAACCGAGGCTATGATGATCGTGCAGTGTATGTCAGACCTGCAGTGGTTTCTCGTACAGTAATCTTGTGTACAGCTATACCCGCTAAGCGTCGTTAAGAGTTGTCTTGATTGTGTGCATAAGGGTCCCTGTTGAATCACAGAAAAGAAAAGAGATTCTTCAGAAGTTTATGAGCATTTGATTGCTTGATTGGTTCATTCGTGTACTATCCGTCCGCGCAGCATCACCATCACCATCGTCATCATCATCAGATGCGAGCTACCCCTGGCCCCTGCGTGTCCTGTCCTTCGCGCGCTCTCCCTCCCTCTCTCTCTGGCTAGAGCTTGAGGGCACTGCACTGCAGCAGCAGCTGATGCTGTTGGAGTTCTTGCGCTTGTTGTTGTTGTTGTTGTTGGTGTTATTTTTTGCGGTGGGTGGTCCTGTTGTTGGCTCATGAGTGGTTGATAGATTGAGATTAAATTAGACAGAAAGCAACGAACACAGATCAGATTCGGCCTGCCTTGCGCAGAGCCTGCCTGCCTGCCTGGGCTTCTGAAGTAGCGGAGGAGTGCTCCAGTCGCAGATCGACCAGAGAAGAGTGCGCACCACAGCACATCACAGCAACCACGGGCAGTGCAGGCACGTCCTGAGGCTGCGGGAGTGCGGTCACTGGCACTCGCAACATCATCTCTCCTCGAGCTCTCGAGGCTCCTGTTGAGCACATAATTACTCTTCCACTCGGGGCCAAAGCTTGTGTTCTACTTTAGCACAAGCAATCCTTGGGACTCTCTGACCCGGTTTCTACCATACAGATTATTAGGCGGTTCGCAGCAGTTGTCAAGCCTCTCTCTCTCTCGGTTTGCTCGTTGTGCCATCGCTGATGCGCCTTTAGGCGAAGGAGCTGGAGATTGAAGAGCAGGTACTACTATCTCAGCATTCTCAAGGCAACATCTCGAGAACACACAGCACTGCGTGAGATTGCGTCGAGATTCTTCTCGGGAATCCAACCGGTCTCGCTGTCCGAGTCTGTGTGTCTGTCGTGCGAATTAGTAGTCTACCTAGAGGACCGGAACCAATTCGTGCTTTATCCATCGATCAGCAGGTCTCCCATACCATTCCTACTTGCTGGCAGAATCATAGAGGCGAAATGACTCCTTTCTGCACATAGGTTCCGTAGAACCATACTTTCAGGAATTCAGCAGTGACTCACTCCACCATCTCTTCTCGTCTCCACCGGAGGTAGCAGAGATGTTCTAGAGCTCCCGCTCGACTGTCATATCACGCAACAAAGCCGGCAAGCAAGAGCTGGGCTATTCTTCTTCTTCTTCTTATTCTTCAACCACAGATCCATCTGACAGGCACCAGGTCGCTTCTGCTGCTGCTGCTGCTGCTGCTGGCGGTTGTAGTGGTGGGTTCAGACGATGGGAGAGGCATGGCAACGCCTGTACAAGAACAAATGGCTGGTGCTGGCGTTCTCCATATGGATACAGTCGTGCTCCGGAGTAGGCTATGCCTTCGGAAGTTACTCGCCCATCATTAAAAGCGTTCTGGGATTCGACCAGAAGGGCATTAGTCGCCTGGGAGTCGCCAAGGACATCGGAGACAGTGTAGGCCTGCTCGCCGGCACTCTGTGTGATCTTGTCCCCATATGGGGTCTCTTCATTTGCGGCGCTCTGGTCAATCTCATCGGCTATGGGTCGATTTGGCTCATCGTCACCAAGCAGCTGCCCCCCGTTCCTCTCTGGGCTGTGAGTATTTTTTCCTCTCCTCCTCCAATCCTTCCCCTCTTGCCTCCTCTCTCAATATTCATCAGCTTCGACAATAAGTAGAGTGTCAGTCTGTCATTCATTCATCCATTCGATATCTCAAGTATCCCTGATTAGCATTCGGAATTGAAGCTTATGTATGGCCTTGATTGCAACCACTTTCCAATTCGTTCAGTGCTGCTCATGACCGAATCGTAGAGCATGGGGAGCTGAGCGAGGCATGTTTCGATAGATCTTTGGAAATGCATGTCGTGGGTAGGGATGTCTGGTCGAAGAGCAGCCAGAGATAGGGACTGATGGAGGCATGGAATGGGGAATTGGTTGGACGGGATGCGCAGATGTGCTTAATTATGATGGTGGCTACGAACGGAGAGACATTCTTCAACACGGGAGCGCTGGTGGCATGCGTGCGCAACTTCCCTCAGAATCGAGGAGGAATCGTAGGAATTTTGAAGGGATTCACAGGGCTGAGCGGAGCGATCTTCACGCAGCTGTACACGTCGTTCTATGCGCCCGACCAAGCCAAGTTCATCTTTCTCGTGGCCACGGGGCCGTCCATGGTGGCTCTGTTCACGCTCTTGATCGTCCGCCCCATCCCGCAGGTCGTATCCATCATCAAGGAGGATGACAAGAATTTCAATGTCATATACAGCGTCTGTCTCGTCATCGCCGCCTACCTCATGGGCGCCATGATCGTGCACGATTTCCTGTCCGTGAACCACTACGTGCAAGTCGGATTCGCATTCGGCTTGTTGTTACTGCTCTTCATTCCTCTGATCGTGCCCTTCTATCAGGTCTTCGTTGTGGACCCCAAGAAACCCCAATCCGACATCGAGAACGACTACAACATCAAAGCGCCATTGTTGGCCCCTGCGCCTCCAGAGAGAACCCCGAGTGGCCGCGAAATCAAGAATGAGTATCCCAAAGCCATCAAGCCGACCATTACATACTACCCGCCGCCGTCCGGGGATTTCATCGAATTCAGTGAAATGGAAGACGAGAAGATGAGGCCAGAAGTCTCAGAGCGAGCGCGCCACGAGCAATTGGCGCGCATGAGCTCCAGGCTGTACAAGGCCGTGGCCGAGGGCGCCGTCAAGGTCAAGCGCAAGAGAGGACCCAGAAGAGGGCAGGACTTCACGCTGGCGCAGGCGCTCATCAAGGCCGACTTCTGGCTCATGTTCGTGGCCCTCGTCTGCGGCGCCGGCACTGGCATCACCGCCATCGACAATCTGGGCCAAATGGGCGAAGCTCAGGGCTTCCTCAACGCACACATTTTCGTCTCCCTCATCAGCATTTGGAGCTTCTTGGGTCGGCTCGGAGCCGGCTATGCCTCAGAGATCGTCGCCCGGTAACTCTCTCTCTCTCTCTCTCTCTCTCTCTCTCTCTCTCTCTCTCTCTCTCTCACATTCATTCATGTCTTGCTATCGTCGCCCGACGGGCCAATCCAATCCAATCCAATGTCGCCATAGCGGACTTCCGCCCATGCCCTCGAGTCATGAATCGATGCGCGCGGAGAGCTCGTGCACGGGAAGCGGAAACAATCTTCTACTTTGCTCTGGAATTCCCTGGAATCCCGCCGCCGGGGCATCGCGCAGCTCTCTCGGCTGCGGGGACGACGAACAGCGGCTCCGAGAGCAGCAGTCCTGCCCGCTGGAATCGAACTCGGAAAAATTTGGCATTCGGATTTCGGAATTCAGCACTGGAGAGGAATTTCAGTCGAGGAGCTGGAATTGTAGGAAATGTCTGGCCCTGTGAAATTGGTGGTCACCGACGGAGGAGGATTTAATGGATGATGGATCGATTAATTGAATGAATTATTGATTGATTGATTGATTGATTGAATGAGGATTGAATGAATGAGTAATTGAATGAAAGAGTGGATGGATGTGGTATGGTGGATGCAGAGATTACGCAGCGCCGAGGCCGATTTTGATGGCGTGCGCGCAGGGGATGATGGCGGTGGGGCACCTGATGTTCGCGATGGCGTGGCCGGGGTCGATGTACATAGCGTCGCTGCTGGTGGGATTCGGGTACGGGTGCCACTGGGCCATCGTGCCGGCGACGGCGTCGGAGCTCTTCGGGCTCAAGAACTTCGGGGCGCTGTACAACGTGCTGACCATCGCGGTGCCCATCGGGTCGCTCGTCTTCTCGGGGCTCATCGCCGGCCCCATCTACGACGCCGAGGCCGAGAAGCAGCGCAGCGGCGCGTTGGGCGCGTACGCGCGCGGCCCGTTGGCGGACGAGAGCCTGGTGTGCGAGGGCGCCATCTGCTTCCAGCTCACCTTCTTCATCATGACCGCCGTGTGCATCTTCGGCGTCGTGCTCAACCTCATCCTCATCAAGCGCACGTACCGCGTCTACCAAGCGCTCTACGGCAAGCGCGGCGACTCGCTGCTCCACAACAAAGTGCCCCGCGCCGTGCTCGAGCAGGACGCCTCGTCCTCCAGCAGCTTTCACTAGAGCTCCCGTCGTCGATTGCGCTCTTTCTTTTATAATTGTGTATACCCCCCCGCGCGAATTGATCGAGTCGATGCACGCCCACACTCTTGAGTTTTTTTTCTGGAGTCAAATGTGTATCGCTGCAGAGGACACCACGGCCATAGCCGCAGCAGCAGCAGCATCCGCAGCCGCAGGGCCAGAGGAGGAGGATCTTGAGGAGGCTCGAGCTCCTTGACATTCATGTCCATTCATTCTTGTCTGTCAGGTTGTCGATACGAGCCCATCGGGAATCGTGAGTGTGTGAAGGAACGACCTCGGAAACCATAGCTTGCAAACCCTTAGAGCTTGCGGGATTGTGCCGATCAGACATCACGGCTAGGAATCACGTAGTGTGACCGAGTATACTCGAGGTGATTGATGTGACCTGGTGGTTGGTTAGGGAGGGAGAAGCATTGCGCCGAGAATCATCGTCCGGCCGCCGCCGCCGCCGCCATGGTGGTGGTGATGGTGGTGGCGGTGGTGTACTCACGAGATCCAATACAGCAGCAGCAGCAACAATGTTATTCCGTCGCGGCGCACTCTCTTCGTTTTCATCTCGGCCGCCACCACCGCCACCACCACCCTCATCCACTAAAATTCTTCTTTGTATCTGCGACAAATCTTCATAGGAGAGAAGAGGAGAAGCCATCGTCATCGAAGGAAGAAGAATCTCTTCTCATCACTGTTGAGTTACAGCTACTTACCAGCTTCTACGAAAGTACGCTTAAAAGACCATTAGAGATTACACATTTGTTCAAATTGTGCAGAGCAAACGTCATTCCCTCTGTCTATTTCAAAACGCCATTGATGAGAATAAATTACTCACTACACTCCCGTGGTGAAGACCACGGGATTTTATCTACGCTCTTTCTCATCTGTTCCAGTCTCCGGCTCTGAGCACGAGTGTGGACTCGATCGACTCCCATCATGCCCTTGATTATTGCTTCTTCTGCTATAAGCTTTGTCGATGAGCGCATACTGGATCGATCAGCCATATGTTCGTCAGGCATGGTTGTCTATGTTGGACTCGCGATCGTGTCAGTGTAATGTTGCTGTGTTTGTATATCTCTCACGACGGTTATGGAGAGTGCTCGGTCAGCCCCCAAGCCGACAACGTGTTTGTTGTTCAATGAGAGCGAATTACGAGTTGGAGCAGTGGTCGTGGCATGGCAGCGGCAGTTATTCAGTTCGCTCGAATGGGGAAATTGCTTGGCTCAGATGCGCAGAGAAGTTGCAGAGTTGTCTACTTGGACTTGGCAACGCAATTCACACCCGTTTTGTCGACCAGCCCAGCCCTGCCCTGGCAGTGCAGCCTGTCATGCCAGGGCGAACGAATCCAAGCACGCTGCTGTGTTGTTAAATCAAACCTCGCACGAAATGATGAACTCATCTCTGATGTCCTCTAGTTCCCTCGTTCATCTCTTACGGACAGTTCTTTCTCCTCGCATCCCAATGAATCCCGAAGACGCTCTGATACGACGGCACCGCACCAGCGATGCCATGCCTGGCGGGTCTACACAATCTCACAGAGTATGGCAGCACGATGTCTCAGCCTGCAAGTGAAGCTGAACAGGTCAGAATGCGTGACACTGCAACACGCGAGCAGAGCACACGTAGCAAAGCATCAAATTTCGGCGACTTACACCAATGGGAAATTGGGCATTATTACGCCGCAATTCCTGCAACAGAGGGACCCACCGTCGGGAAGACGACGTACTCATACGGAACTCAATTGAATGTGGCCTTCAATGCAAACATATTTATGAGTAACATAGATTCAGCTGTCGAGAATGTACCAGCTGGCCCGGGAACCTGGAACGCATCTTTCAATACATACAGATCCCTGGCAAGTTTGTCTTGTTCTGGGAAATTCTCCCTCTGAGTACATAGGAACCTGGACCCTGGGAAGATAGTTTTGTGGACGGACGGCAAACAAAAGAATGTCACTTTTAAGAGCTACCGGTCAAATTGCATCCTGGGACGACTTAATGGCGGTCTTCCTTTACTTTTTGCTTACTTGTAACTTGTCCCCCCATTTGCACCTCTTAGAACAAAACAGTCTGAATTACCAGTGTCCTAACGACCACCTCAAGATCTGACACCCGTCTTATCCACGTTGGTTGCGTCCGACTCGATGAGTCTTTCGATCCTTTTCCCCATGTTACACTTGTCCCCTACTTTCACCTCAGTCTTAGAACCGACTGCCGGAATTTCCACGCTCATCTTATCCAGTTTGGACCCCTTCGTGCTTGTCCCCCGATTTGCACCTCTAAGAACAAACAGTCTGACTTACCAGCCTCCTAACCATCTAACGATCACCTTCAGTGCTCTTTCCCATCTTATTATTATCTTATCCACTTTGGTTTCATGCTTGCGGGACTTTTGGCTATGCTACTTGTCTCGACCGTTTGCAATTTTGAGAAATAACAGTCTGAATTTGCAATTTGGAGGTACTTTCACGTACGAGGTGAGGGGCCAAAAATAGTCAGATTGTGTCAGTATGTCTTCCAAGGGAGCAAGTCTAGAATGGGACGAAACTAGATGCATGTTGCCTATTGATGGACATCAAAATGGGATTTGACCACTTCTTCGATACGACAAAAAGCAAAAGTAATTTTAGAAAAGGTTTCGTTTTAGCAAATAAAGACATCTATATTTATTCGAATACATGTCCGACATATGAGATTGATTAAAAGATTTTGTTAAGGATTGAATTACATTGCAAATCCTTAGGATTATGTAATCATGTTCATCTATAAAAAGTCTAATTTTATTTTTTTCTGAACAGTGATTGTTCCTCTAAAAAATCTTTAAAAGAAAGATTTACCAAAAAAATTTATATCTTGTTGTGAAGAGTTTTTTTCTTTTTTTTTCTTCATCAATTCACATGGATTACAAAATATTTAGTTCTAACATAGAAATTATGGAATGTTCGAGGATTGGAACGTTAACGTATTTCAAACCTTATTTGTAATACCATATTTTATTTTATTTTTAATTATAGTTTTTTTGTTGATATTAAAAATAATTTTATGCTATAATTTGTAAGCAATGTATATATAATAGTAAAATAATTTCAATATATCATTCAAAAATAGTCAAAATATTCTTAAGTATTTTTTAAAGCTTACATAGAATAGCAAAATTTTCATCAAAGTTTGTAGTCATGAATTAACTCCATTACTGTTATTAGAATTATGCATATAAAAGTTTAAACATCATTAGGTAATCGAAGCTTATCATTAAAAAATAATTTCAGTGAATCTTAACTTTTTTATTGAAATTCTTAAGAAAATAATAAAATGAAAGATTTTCAAGAAGTCATATTTATTCTTCAACTTTGAATGTACAAAATGAGATATTTACTGATTCATCTTGCCAATCAATTTCAAACCTTGATCTTTGATTTCACATTATAAATGGTTGGTGATTAATCATACACTTGAAATTGTAAAAACATTTGACTGACAAAAATTCTAAATTACTTCAAATTCAACATTTTTTAGGCCAAGTGTATTCTTGGTTCAAACAATAAAAGTATAGTTATCAGTAATTGAGCCAATTTGCTTTCATTCTGATTTAAATTTTAAATTATCTTGTAAATGATGATTAAATAAATATGATTATTTACAAAATATGATTTGCAATCACAATAAAATGCAAAATTTATCAATCATGATTATTACAAATATTGAAATTTGTTCTTGTGAAAGCTAATTATACTCAATATTTTCAAAAATAGGATTATTTTTTTGAAAGATATATTAATGAAAAAATAATCAAAGTTTATTTATTTCAATATATTGAAATAATATTTAGAAAAAATTATGTATATTCTAATATTATATTAATTGGAATGTTATTTTTCCAGAAAAAAAATAGCATGTGAAAATTAATCATTTTAACATATAATCAAATAGTATGATACCAAAAATATATTATAAAATCCTTTTGATTTCATCATTGATAACATAATTCTATGAAAATAGTCTTATTACAGCTTTATCATATTAAATTAATACATTTGATGCTTTATATTAGAAATTTATTTTAGTATACTTTCAAGGAAAATTTATCAATACATAGAAACAAATATGAGTAATAATATAAAACAAATCACACAAAAGTCAAGGTTAATTTTTTTGTAATTATCTTTGGAGTTTTAAATGAATAGAATTATTAAAATTACAACATATAAATTTATAAGCTTGCTATTATACAAAAAATTAGTTTCATCTTTTAGGTAGACAAAGTTTTGAAATTTAGTTAAAGTTTGAAATCCTGGAATATTATCCTCAAAGTTTTTTGTATAAATATTTTTATGTGATTCCATTGAATGTAATCTTTGTGATTAAACAGTCTGATTTCATTTCACATAGACCTTGGTTTTTGCACAAAATATAAAAGAATATTATTTCATCATTCTACACATGGATTATTTCAAGTATGGTAAAATGACATTGCAAACACAAAGATTCAAAAAGAAGATAATAAAATTATCAAATACAAGAGTTGTCTTTATTATTTGAAAGACAAAAAACAAGTCAAAGAAAAGATAAAAATTTTCAAAAAATTAAAATCTTAAGATTTATTTTCTACATTAACAAAAAATAGAGTTTATGTTGTGAAAAAATTTATATCGTATTTAAAATTTTTGATTTAAAATTCAATAGATGAATAGAAAAGTGTTTTACTTTTGCTTGAAATGCTTTAGCAAAGTTTTAGAGCAAAATTTGTTAAACAATTCCTTCATGCCGCTTTTTTCAAAATTTACTAATCATTGATATCAACTTGATCTTCATTACAAACTGCTTGAAAAAAAAATTTAGTAGAATTATTGTTATTTTATCTTGCTTTTACGTTATGAATTCTTTTCAAAAAATTTCATCTATTGATTATTCAAATTACTCAAATATTCACTTGTTAATTTTTTTGGTCAAATTTCTCTTTTTGTACGTCAAATATTAAATTGTGCTCACAAATTGATCTCATAATCTTCAACTGTTTTGCATTTTGAGTATCATTCATTAAAAAGTTTTGCCATCTACTTTTTGAAATAATCATGTTTAGATATTGCCAATATTGTTTAGTATTCACAATGATAATTATTTTAATATAGTTGATATGAATTATATCTTTCATTTTTCAAAATCTACATTAACTCAAAACATAAAATTTATGTTTCAAATTTTTTTGGTTATATATAGCAATTGTTGAAGTTAACTTCAATTGAGACTAACCTCAGGATCTAGCTATTTATAGCTAGAACGGTTGCCTAGACTGGTGATAAATACCTCGGGATTCGTCCTGTACATTGAGTCTTTTTGACAAAGCCTGGAGTAAAGTGCTGAGAGTTTTGGGTAGACATAGCTCTCATCCTGAGAGTGCACCACGGTTTTTCTGTGTCGCTTTGTCTCTCTTGGATTTTACATGTACAATTGGTATTAGAGCCGGTTTGGTGCGGGCTTGGTGTCAAAGCGTTTTTTGTCAATGATAGGTTTTTTCGGTTTAGAATTTATGATGGTGATCGGTTTTCTAACAAAAGTCACGGTTTTTCAAGTGACATGTTCTGTTGACATTTTTTGTCTGTGAGGTGAAATCATTTGGTCAAAACTCATGGTTTTTGGAGGTATGCCACTGACACCTCTTTGCTTATGGCACGGAACGTCTTCAACACATCCAACAAAATGTGTGCGCTGCAATCCACTCTCGGCGGCTACATTGAGGAATATCATCTTTTGTGAGATTGAAGACTCAATCTATCACCTTGCAGTCGTATTGAGTCTTTCATCATCAGACCAAAGTGATTCTTCAAAGTATGCAACAATTCGACTGAGTGTAAAAGCTCCACTATACTAGAAATCAAACTTGTTCTGCAAAGTACAAGTAGAAATGAAATTGAGCAATTCGGATATCGTACAACTAAGCAGTCCATTGATTCACTACTTACGATTTGTCAAGAGTCTAAAAAGAAAGTTCTTGTTTCAAAAGCATGGTTCAAAGAGCTTATGAGGAAAATCGTGCTCGATCCGAAATCGGTCCTTGTTTGTCCTTGGTCTCTTCATCTTCATGCAACCAAGTGACCTCAACTCTCACAAAGTAAACTACTCGGCGTTCAGTACAAGATTGTAAAGCTTGCATGTAGATGTTTGCTTGAAGCGAGCATCACTATGAACGTCGAATAGGAAGCACCAAGGAGTACAAAAGTGCTCCGGACGTGTCCCAATAAAAGACGAAAGCACATCGAGACACGACAATGACGTCCTTGCGAACAAAGGCTCCGAAATAGAGGAACAGCGCCTCGAGCATTCTCAAGGTCTAAGTGATGACCGTCATACGCTCGACAATTTTCAAGCTTTGCTTTGAGAATGCAAAGAAATGAAGTCGAAAGGCTGCATTGACATGGATGTGCACACAAGTGCTTTGGCAAAAATAGCGTTATACACTGAGAACTTGTAAGTTTCTTGTCAGTATAGATATGCCTTCATTAATCCCAAATCATTGAAAGAGGGAGAGAGCTCTTAGTATCTCCGTACTGACAAGGGGAAAATCTCTGCTCACGA